ACATTAATCAAGATAGCCCTAGAAATAACTATCCAACACATGAACAACCTACCACAACATTCACTTAGTTGACCTCAGCTCATATAAGTCATATAAACATGCTTTTAACAAGTAAACCCCATTTTCAAATGTACAACACAAGTTTTTCAAAACTTAACCCGCGCAGCGACTTTAAAATAAACATAACTTGCAACACACATGTCATATCAATATGATTCCAGTTGCATATGAATCCTAAGACATGCAGTTACAATTCTTATGAAGACATCGACAATAGATAAGGTCATTTACCAGGAGATAGTTCAACAAACATTCATGACATGGTTGCAGTCAAACAACTGAAATTTTATACTTACAGAGTTTCAGTAATTGTCACATAATTCATGCTACAGGTCTCCAAATGACACGATTCAAAAACCAACAGACAACTAAAAAGTAAAGCTACAATGTTCATGAAGACAAGAATGACAAATAAGGGCATTTGATCAAAGATTATTCATCATACATTCGAAACATGGTTGCAATTTGAGAACAAAATTATACATCCTACAGAGTCTCAGTAAAATTGAAATATCTCATGCTACAGACACGCTTTTGACTTGATTCAAGAACTAACAGGACGATGACACATAAGGCTACATGTTTCATGAAGACTACATTTCAGTTTGAGTACATACAACCATCGAAAACATGCCAAACATTTAATATATATATATATATGCTGTCGGATTTACAGAAAATTGTTTGCACAATTATTTTGTAAAAATAATAACTCACTCAATTTAAATCTGATTTCAAAGATTCCAAAGCCCACTGAAAGCTAAGAAAATAAGGTACATTTCATATGAAGAACACAACTTCAAGAAACGAGTTCTTGAAGGCCAAGACAGAGGCACAACAGAGACAGTAAAATCGTGCTTATTTCATGCAATCTTAATGGAACTTCAACAATAATTCTCAATGTTATAAGCATCACCACTACATCATATGAGCATCATCTATCACATATATCAAGGTAAAAAATCACATTCATCATGCTCGAACACCACTTAACACCAAACACGTAACTCCATATAATATCTTCATATCCTTTTCAACATGCCAATACAATTCAAGAATTACACATAATACACGTGAACACATTAAAATAAGGAGGGTTTCGAGCCTTGGTGTACCGTTCTCACGAAACGTTCACGAGACGGTCGAAGAAGGACCGAGACGGGGCTGGTACGCGCAGTTCTTGGCGAGACAGCTTCGCCCGACTCGCAACTGCTACGTGTGGGACGGTATCTCGGTGGTGCTGGTCGCGAGGGGTCGAGAGAAATGATCAACGGCTCGACGGGGGTGCCGCTACTGCATTTTAAAGGTCCAGAGAGGTGCTGCTACTCTTGGTTTCCTCTCGCCGGCGTTGGGTACTCTTCTCCGGCAGGACTCGAAGGGGCGACCGGTCAAGTTCCTGCTCGGCTTCTCCGGAAAAGGTTGCTGATCGTGAAAATGGGGGTTAGGAGGAAGGCTCGCGATCGCGAGCTGCTGAGGTTGCCTCGCGGTGACCAGAGGCTGAAAGATGAGAGAGGACTCGGTTGCTCGCCATGACTGGTGGCTGGTGGTCGGAAGACCTCGGTGATGGCGGTTCGTCGCTGCTCGCGGTTGTTCTCGGCGACCAAAGGTGCTGCTCGCAGGAAGGAGTCGCGTGGCGGTATGTGGCGAGGAAGAAAAGGTCCGAGTTCTCTGCTTTCTCATGCGATCGAGAGTAAGAGAGATGTATGGAGATGATCAATTGAAGGAGGAGGGATTTCTTCTCGTTTCACGCGTGATAGAGAGAGAGAGATACGATTTGAGAGCGGCGTGAGATTTTCTTCTTCTGCGTGAAATTGAAGTTTACGTGAGAGAGATGGGACACGTCTTCACTAGAAGGTGGCCATGGGATAGCCCCGGTAGCCTCGAGGGGAGCTGGGAAGTCATGTGCGTCCCACTGGAGAGCACCCAATAGAGGCTGCACTAATTTATACACATAGACATAACCTAGGTTAAACGTGCTTGCCAAACAAGGCACGGGCGGTTCAGGCGCGGGTCGAAGGCGCATGGGCCGGTTCCTCTTGGGGTCGGGTTAACAAATAAAAGATGCTCGGTTCTAACGCATGATAAAATTAAATTAAACATGATAATATTTATATATATATATATATTACACACAATATTTAATTAAATAAATATGCAATTAATAATAATAATATAAAAATCGAGAAATTCTAATAAACGAACGGGCAGCTACATTGGTCTTGGAATAAGAGTGTCAAAAGGTCGATCTCCATCCATACATTTTATGTATCGAAAAATTGAGATCTGACGTACAAAAAGTCCTTTTTTGGTGTCTCATAGAAGACCAGATGCTAAGACTTACTAAAAGGATCAATTTCAACACAAGTCTAATTAGCTTGCCCTGATATGGGGGCCTAGATGATGTAGCACTCAGAATAGCTCGGCTGACCGGCCTGAACAGGTAGTTTGACTAGGTCGTTCTAGGAGGCCTCTAGTGTGATCATAGATAAGTTTTTTGGTCAAGTAGCTCGTATGATGGCTTAAGGTACCAAACGACCTGAAGAAGATGACCGTGGATGCCAACCTCCATGAGCCTTACAATACAACCGACGTCGAGGTATCGTGGTCGTATGGGCCATGTAGATGTATGGATGAGGTCAGGTTAGACCTCAGGACGAGGTCAACTTCTACCTCAGGTAAGCCACAACAGACAAATCAGGAGCTCTAGGTTACGACCTAAGGACCTAAGGGTTGTACAGTAAAAGAAGAAAGAATCATAGTTAAAAAAAGAAAGAATCACTTGCTCAAGTACTCTTATCTAGAAAGAGACATGATAAGTTAGGAAGTGTGGTCTAGTTAGATTTCGTTCCTAACAAGAACTCTCTTGGGCACGAAGATAACTACCTTATATAAGAGTGACAAGTTCCTCTTCATTAGCATCATCGCATTATGCCTTTAATTACATATTCTTATATACAATTGTTTGAGCAAATTCTGACTTGAGTGTCAAGGGTTTTTCTGCTTAGACCCTCTCCCTGCATATTGAAGGTCACCGGAGCTCAAACACGAAGGCAGTTCACGGCGTAGGTGAATGAATCGGTTCGCGAAAAAAGTGATGCAGCATATAAAAATATATATATAATAGTATTTTTTTATACCATGGAGTAAACTGAAATATAATCAAAAAATTTGAAATTACACTCGAGCCCTTGAAAATTATCTAATTCTAAAAAAATAACATCCCTAAATTGCTTGCATATTTTTGCAGCATTATAAGCTCATTTTTGGAGCTCTGGTTTTTAGGATGATGACAGTTGCCTCCCGGTGATGTCAAGCTGCGTGCAGATTTTTCTGACTAGCGGACAACTCGAACATGGCGGTTCGATGTTCGACCGAGTGGTGGTGTCATGTTGCCCATTCAGTGGACTGTTGTGGCAGCTGACGGGGGCAGCGATGGCGAGATGGCGGCAGGAGAAGGGCGATGGAGCGGAGCGCGGTGGTATGATTTTGTTCGTGCTAGGGGTTGCGACAGAGGTGGGTCAGTAGGCTCCGGCAATGGCAGGGATGCTCGGCGGTGGCAGAGTGGCTGGCGAAATATGACTCGAGGTTGTTGCTCTGTGCGTGTGTGTGTGTGTGTGTGAGAGAGAGAGA